CCTACTCTGCTATCAACAAACGAAGATTCGTTAAAAATGTTAGCAATTTGTGCATTTCCTTGGAAGATTTTAGGGTTCTTCCCAGATCAGCCTTTATGTTTTCCATGTCTATAGCAAGACTCAGAAATCTCTGGTGGCCAGAAGTTTGTTTCAAAGCTATTCTTACTAGAGTACTAAGGTACAAATACACTTTTCACTGTGCTTATTCAAATGTTTTTGGGTTTTTTGTGCTACCTGAATCTGAAAAAAAGCTTCCCTGATTTAATTTAATATGTCCCACTCCTTCAGAAAACAAAAAACAAACAAAAAAAAAAACAGAAAACAAACTACCAAACAAAACAAAACCCCCACAATTATTTTACTCAATTTCCACCTTCAAGACACACATATTAATCTACATGATATTTCTACTGTCACCCAATCTCCCTTTCTCTAACACATGGGATACTCTATAAATCTATAAAAAATTAGTTGAAAGACTCAGATGGAGTGTTCTGATTTGGGAGATTTAGACCTGTTGTATGACACTTGGAACAACAGAAGTACCTATTTAGCATTGCAGCAATGTCAGGAAAAGTCTGCCTGGCTTTTCTTGGGATAGTGCTAGCTATTGACTCTCTTGGGTATCAGGGACGTGTTGGAGATGCCAAGTCCAGGGACTTCTCACTAACCTTACATCTTCTGATAGAACTGATACAGGACTGATGGAAATGGTCCTACCTATTTCAATATTGAGGAACAAAATCTGAGACAGGACACATGACTTTTTTACTGGCTTTGTTTCTACCTCCCTCTTCCCAGTGAAAACTCAGGATTCAAGATGCTACAATCTGACAAACCAAGATAATTATTCTATGCTTATATTTTTATATATTCTTGATTTATAATATTGATGATGATATCCACTTCCTGACAGTCAAATGAGTGTCCAGATCAGGCTAACAGAATGCCACAAATGTAGTTTCCTCATGTACTCACTTAGTCATTAGCAAATTTGAATGAAGCTGACAGTATCAGTATGAAAACTACAGCCTTCCATATCAGTACAGAAGTTCAGAATCTAGTTCATATTTCAATAATTGCTAGTGTCATTATATTGTCATTTAGCTTTGACCTGATCGGTGTTTTTTGACAGAAGATTCTAATCCTAGGCACTATGGTTCCAACATAGAAAATATTGCCAGTGAGGTTAAGGAGGGAGGTAGATATTTTCTATCAGTTCCAAAACAACACAGCAAGTTTATTCAAAATAAGGCCTTACATAGCAAAGAAGGAAAGTATTGAATTCTCTTTCAAGTGGATGACCTACAACAGTATCCTACCCTGAAACAGGAGGCAGGACTAAATGTTTCTTGTTTGAAGCAATATTATCTTTTGCTATAAAGTGAGATTTTCTGTCTTCATCTGATCATTCACATCATTCACTACAGCACAAGTTATTGGAACATTCAATTAATTCAGAGGATCTTAAAAAAAAATAAAAAAAAGGAAAATCTGCCATGGGTAGAAGGGAAGATAGAGGAGTGTGGAAGAGAGGTATCACACATGAATGCTTTACAGCCTTCCTTAGTGTAACACACAACTGCTTCTCTAATCTCTAATTTGCATCCTTCAGTATTATTCTTTTATTTCATTTAGGTTAAAATCATGTGTGTGACAGATATGCTACCAACACTGTTCCATGCACTGCCAGTGTGTATAATCCTTTTTGATATAAATTATGTGCATGGTAGACGAATGATGAGACTGACTTTCTCTTTCTAGTCTGGTTTAGGTCAAGGGAGATTCAGGTGATGACATTTCATACGAAACCAACAAAGTGTGAAAGGTTATAAGAGAAAGAGCTTCTCTTTTCCTGCAGCTTCCTTTTAGGCAAAAAAATGAATAATGAATTCACTGTAACATCTTCATTTAATGTACTCAGCTGTAAAATATGTACATTCTCAAAGCTGAAGTTACTCAGACATCTAACACATGTTAATTAACCAACTTTGTTTCTGCAGATGTAATTAAAATCCCTGTCTTTATCTATGCAGTCCAGGTTGGAAAGGCTGATATCAAGCTGCAGGGCTACAAAATGAAAAAAGCAAGCTAAACAGAAATGATGACATGGAGATGGAAAGTAGATGAAGTCCCTGAGAGAAATGATCTTGCCTTGGAGCAAGAATAGTGATCAGGCTGACAAGACACAAAAGCAATCAAAAAGGAATCAAATGAAAAAGAGAAACAAAATTAGTGAAGATCTTCATCTTTAATGGTATATAACAGTGTTTGTATTTCATACTCGAAATTTCACTTGGTCTCCTGCTACAGGGATATGCTATAAAAAAAGATAGCATGAGAAAAAAATAACAATGAAATATCTTCATATTATTTTCCCACATAGGGATTCCCACTGCTGCCTCACCATCAATACCATTAACTACATTAACATGTAGCTACTGTATTAGAAGAGGTAACTGGTATGCCTTATTCACAGAGTTGCAGACTCTAAGATTGGAGCTGAATTACATAATGGATAGCTGGTCTCTAATGCTCTGCACTGAGTGCATCAAACTCACTTGACCTATGAACACGGAATGAGCTAAATTATGCACAAAAAAATACGTAAAAATAAGCATTGAACGTACAGACAATCCACTGAATAGATTGTCTCGTCTCTCATTACACTCAGGGAATGTATTGCTGCTGAATGCTAATCACTTCTGGTGGTGATTACTATTCTGATCAGTGTTTTTCTAGGGTGCAGTCAGCAAAGGCTAGAGTTAGTTTAAAACTCTGCTAAGCAATTATTAGAGAAAATGAGAAGAATTTAATTTAGTTACATCAAAACATCTTTCTAGACAGTGGCTGTCTGTGGCCTGCAGTATTAAAATAAACTCTCAAAGATTTAAGTATACCTTCTGCAATGGGTTGCTTATTAGGATCAGATTTTTTCTTAGCACTGATGCTATTTAGCAGCAACTTTATTACGTAAGAAGTAATTAGCGAAGAAATGGGCAAAATTTCATTTGCATAATTCTAAACAAATGTCAGTGCCTAGACTAGACAAGGCCTGTAGACTCAAAATAAAATGAGAATTTGTGATAAAATTACCCTCTACTACATATGAATCGCCATCAGGTACACACAGGCAGTGGTGTTCATGTAGGTTGAATTTACATGTGGAAAGTGATTCTGTAAATAGAATGCTACACATTGCTTGAACTGCAAAAAAAAAAAAAATAAATAAAAGTGACGAAATGGTAAAGGAATAAATGTATACGTGCTTCAATAAGACTCCATAAAGGAATGACTGTTGCCAATGAGGTTCAACAAGTTATGTAATCATTACAATTGTATGTATCGAAGCATGTGAAAAAAACATCAATGTCAACACAGTACAGCATTAGGGTTTATGGTGCATTTCCCCCTGTTTCAAGTTTACACATGTAAAAACATTTTCATTTGGAAATGGAGCTCATCCATGAGTTGAAATACCAAATATTATCTAGTTACCTCCATAAGATACTTTTTATTGACTTAAAAGCTTTTCTGGATGATAAATCTCCTCTCCTCCTCCCTAGTCTCTTTCTGGACTGTTCTTGATCCTCTGTATTTATTGCATTTTTAACACATGTTGCACAGCACCTTAGATACCTTAGATTTCTGTATTGCTAAGGGACTTCCATCTGCAATCCCACAGCCTGCCTTCCACTTGCAGCTCCATACTCCTTCACATAAGCTCCCAGGACAGGGTACCCCAGAATGCCTGTGGCAGTGTTTTTCCCATGACACTCGTTTGTTATTCATCACCTGGATTTATACTTGCAAACCCAGATCCTGTTGTTATGGCAGGTTCCCAAGGGAAATGATATGTCAGAATTACCTGTTATTTCTCCCCTTTCCTGATTTCTACATTTGGTTGTAGCTTCTGGTTTAGGACTCATTATTGCATTTGCAGGAAGCTCAGCAATGAACCAGCTGCATAGCAACTTCTCCAGTCATGATGACAGCAATGATAACAGCATCATAAGCAGGAATAATCCATGAGGAGTTTGAGTACATCTTGACATAAAATACAGAGTTATTGTGGGAAAAGGATGGTAGGGAACCACTGGAGAGGGTGCTGAGGACTGGGCACTCACTTCTGTTTCTGATTGGACACTGAGAAGGGTCCTTCCCTCTTCTTTTTCTCATCTTCTGTTTTTTTTTTTTTCCTTTTCCCTCCCTCACCCCACCAAACTACATCCACCTGACCTGCTAGTAAATCCTCATGCAACACACAGTCGCCTGTTACTACCATTCCCATCACTTTCCTTATTATATAACAAAAAAATATTACTACTTTTGATTTCTCTTCACATATAGTACATTTATTACTATATCACTTCCATTATTAGAATATCATCCTTAAGCTTTAGTCCTTTACTTTCCTAATTTTCCTTTGCCCTGTAAAACTAAACTTGAAATATCACAGATAATTTTGACTTCTATTACTGCATATGCTGTTGAAGAGTTTTCCTAGCACCCAGTATGCGCTAAAAAAAACATTGTTATGTTTCTTAAGCAAATCCAAACCCTCACTGATCTTAAGCAATTTTTAATCTACACCATATAAAACTGAAAATTTAATGATCTTGACATGCATTAACTTCCTTACACCAGGATGATACAATCGTATTCTTGATACTACAGAGGAAGTAACATTTTCGGTCACCTCCTAGTATTTCCAGTATGATTGAAACAGCAAAAAATAAAAAAAACACAAAACACTGTGGATCAAGAGATTTAAAGTTTTTTGGAGTATAAAAAGACCTCAAAAATAAGCAGCATGACTTGGTAATTTCATTTTCTATGTAAGTGATTTTCAGAGTATGGAAACTTTTAACTGGTGTCAAACTAAAAATAAAATAATTTCTTGAGCATATACAGGAGACAAACAAATATACATAAAAGAAAAATCTGATGTAAATGATTACTCAGGTATAATATTACTGACATTATATATGCTTCCTTACCCTGGACCTCTCCTCTAGTTTTGTCATCATGACGACAGTTGCACCCCGTTGCTCCCACATCATTCTCCAGAAGTCACCAAAGGTTTCCGGCAGTGCCCCTTGCGTTGCTATATAAGCATTCTGCTTTCTGTATCCATCTATGTAGTTAGCATTGATATAGTCACTCCCTGGTATGCCTGCAAAGATAAGAATGAAAACACAGGGCAACATTTCTGTGCTGTCCTATTGTACAAGAGCTAATAACTCCTGTGACACAACTGGATAAGTGAATCTTAGCTTGCTGCATGCCAAGTATTACATGGGCACTTGCAAGTGAGTGTATGCCATTTGTGGAGGGTGATGGCATCTCTGGGAATAACCATTCTTTTGAAACAAAGGACTCATTCTGATAAGGAAGTATAAAAGAAGACTAAAAATCTGTAGCAGATGGAGAGACCTGCTAGTGGAAACAGCAGCATTTAAAAGCTGGTCTGACACTGGCTGCAGTCATCCAGCAGTATGGTAGCCTCTGTCTGGACCAGACAGGGAAGCCTCTCCATCAGATGTCCGCAGTAGGCTTCATATAACACTCTTTGTTGAACTAACTGAATTTCTTTTAAATATAGAAAAAAGAGTTAATGTCATACTTAATATTACTGCTACATTCCCATACATGGGAAGTTAACATGAGCTTATTTTAACAAAACACATTATGTAAGTCGGGTTTAAGAAATAATGGAATCTGCCACAAGGAATTTGAATTAAATGAAATGAAATGAAGACCTCAGCAAGTCTGAATATGCATGAAAAGAAGGTGGAATCTAAGACCTGTGGGTACATTGGACCTACACTGTCAATTGCTCAAGCTCAGGTATTTTGGACAAGACTTACAGTGAGACATTTAATTGATGGTATGCAGAGCCATGTCTGTACTGAGAGCTGGACAATAATATGCTGCCTGCCAAGGCTGAGGTAGAGTATTGGCTGTAGTGAAGATCACGTTACTAGTATGGACTAATAGGGTAGCAATGCTCAAGGAAAGGGGTAAGTATGGACATACAGGTCTCAGTCCCACCCCTACTGGATTCAGCAGGGCAGTATCCAGCTTTTCACTCGGACTATGTGTATGTTGGGAGACAAAGTGTGACAGGCACAAATTTTGATGTCAAAGCTGTTTTTTTTAACTGATGATTTGAGGAAGAAAAGATACTCATGTGAGATCTCAGTGCTGGTGGGTTGGCAAAGCAGTGTTTTCCACATTACTGAAGTGTTGAACATGGAAGTGTTCCCCAGAAGAGTTAGCTGAAAAACAGAACTGTGTATCATAATAAAATGATACAAAAGAATTGTTGAAGTAATTAATAGAAGTTACTTCTTTGAGCAGAAATCAATGATTTATTTTTACACAGCCAATATGCCATGCCCATCTACAACCCCAGGACACAGTACACGTTCCACAAACTGTTTCAAAAGAGAGTCAAGATGATACAAACTCCCTGGCTTATTCTGAAGCTGTGACCATTTTCACTCCACACAGAGACAGAGTTGATTTTTTTTGGCTATGAAACATAGTAAATTATAGAATATGTTTAAAGAAATCTTTCTCAAGCTTTCTGTCAGAAACTGAACCTCCAAATCTATTCTAATGTATTTTCTCCTGCTGGTGATGTCAAACCAGGAATTATCAGGGCTGCACACTCTTTTCTTTCATGACAACCAGTGGCATACACCTGAAAATGTTTTCCAAAATAATTTGAATTTGAATAGAGAGGTACCTCTTTAGCACTTTTGTTTACTTGTTTGTTTTTAGATGAAATTTGAAGAGTTTCTCCACTCATTCTGGGTAAACTTAGTGTTTCATTCCACTACTTAGTGATGAACAAGCCCACTGATAAACTGTGACACAAATTAAGACGTAACTTAATCTTGAAATTATTCAGATTATGGGTTACTGCAGCTGTAGTATGGCATAAAATTTTACCTTCATGCCCAAGAAAGCTTAATAGATTTTATTGGTTTATATGTTCATTTTATATTTAAGCACAAATTTTGATTTGATTTGACTTTCTGTACAATTAAAGGAAAAATCTGATAAAATATTTCAGGGAAAGAGTTTATAACTTCAGGGGCACAAGAGAGGCAGCAAATGGCACTCCTCAGGCAAGATGCACGGATGGACACAGGAAGACTGGCTGACTATGATTAGAACTGATAGTCTCTTCTGGAAGACAAATAAAGCAAAATAAAAAACCTGTACAACTTGCATAGTCTGTAGCCGAAAAGCATGATTTCCCTCCATGAAAGGCAGAAATTGGAGTTCAGAATCTTGTAAACTTGAAACTTTTTTTACATGACACTTCTTATAGTGTATGCTGGAATTAATGACTTAGAAAATACAACTGCTAGGCACAATGCTGTATTTTCTTCCTTTATCTAGATAATAAAACATTTTTGCACAAACAGATGAGAAAGAAAAATGAAGCCAACAGGAGAAATCTACACCAACTGGGTATTATTACCAAAGGAACTGAGAAAGCTGGTAAGAAATGTTTTCTGCATAAATTAGAATTATATTACGATGTCTGGTATCATACGTTGAAGCATATGTTATAAATAAAAGCCTGAGGAAAAAATGAAAAAGAAAACCAACACTTTGTAAAGTGGTTAAATGTTCTTCTGGGAAAGCTGTCCTCTGGAGCTGATACTGCACAAACTCAGCGTGAAAATTAAACATTAGAATTATTGCAAACTGTTCACTAAAGAATGATCTTGACAAATTTTATCAGACAATCCTAGTATCTGATATGAAAAAATCGAGAATGTCTAAAATTGTAAACACTCCTTCTACTTTCTAACTTGTATTAGATTTATTGATAAGTCATATTAAAATAAGTAACTTCTAAACTAAATAAATTCTAATTCTTTAAATTAGAATGAAGAAAAGCTTCCAGATTATATCTTCCTTGGTCACAGATTCAAGTAAAAAAGATTAACAATTACTGATATAAGAAGAGAGAATTTCTTCCCAGCTAGGTTTTCATTCTTTATCTCCACTTGCATTTTATCAAAAGGATGCAAAAAATCCTGTATGTTCTTTAGCCAGAAAAATCCTTTTACAAGGCAACTCAGTCTCATGGCACAAGAAAAGGAAGTGGTTGGTACATGGACAGGAAAGTCCATTTACCACAGGACCTGAGCAACTGTTAGTGACTTAACTAGTCACAGTCTCAAGAAAAAACAGGTGCTGCCCCAACATTTTGCAAGACTTTCATGAAGGGTTTATCTCTAGAAGAATACAGTACTCTTCAGGGTTATATCTCTACTGAGATAAAGAGAACAATAGGATTCACAATGCTCAGTTCCGTTGTTCCTGTCATCCACAGTATCCATTAGGTGTTTTCTTTGTTCCCCATACATTCGTATAGCCCCTTCAAATATCATACCCATTTCTCACACTAAGTGTCTTTTCACTGCTGTTTTCATGCATGACCTCAGTTTCACATTGTGTTCCAAAATCCTTTTGTGTTCTGTAATATCATTTCCCCACTATCACTTTCTGTCTCATACTTTGCCACACCAGGTTTTCCTTCATCAGCTATGTCCCCACAACACATAAATTTTAAGCCCTCTAGGGAATGTGTCTTATCATAAGAGACCTAATGAAGTGTGTTCAGTTTAAAATAACATTTAAAAACCTGAATAGCTGTAAATACCTACACTGGCCAAGCAGAAAAAATTATCAAAGGCAAGTAAATCTAAATATTAAAATGTTACTTTCTGCAATGACTTTTCTGGACATAACCTCATTCTGAGCTGAGAAAGATGAACAATTATCTGTCAAGTCTAATAGTGCAACAACAATCAAATGACAACTAGTTTGATTGCAGCACAATGAAATCCTGCAAACCTTGTTAGCTGCCATAACTTGAAGGCAACATACCCACAAGCACAGAAGCAATTGCCATCATTACTTAAATTTGTGTTTAATAAGTAAGAGAGGTCATTGTTTTGAGAAAAGATGGGTCAAGAAGGGGAAAAAACAACTAAATTCTGCCTTCATTGATATTGATATGAACCTTAACTAACTGTTGGCATCAGTGGGGGTTTACTGCAGATTTAACATGACATAGCTGAAGTGTAAATTTAGGGTAATCCATGCAGTATAACCTGACGTTTACAAGTTTCATGAAGGCAGAGACACAGTTTCTGCACAAAAAGTCAGCTAAAGACTAGGCTTCCTGATCATAATTCTACCATAACTATTTTCTAGTAGCCTTTTCAACTATGCTGATAAATGACCAGCACCTGAAGACTCCTTATTCTGCCAGACAGGAATTGAGAACAACGGGGGAAGAATCAGATGAGTAGTTGAGCATAAAAGACATCCCATTTTCAAATATCTCAAGAGAACAAGGCAGTCCAGATTTTACACAGCAAGAGTGAATGAACAATGAACCAAAATTAGCCAATGCCACAAAGTGCAGAAGATTAAAAAAATAAACTCTATAGCTACCAACTTATGCTGAGACTGTACTCATGAACTACGATGACAGTACAGCTGGCTGCAACATAGACTTAGATCCATAAGGCTAATAACATAGACCTTGGAATTATTTACTTGATTTCTTGAAGACATTTATAATCTTAAATAGCTTTAACTAGACATCGCATTTTATTCATAAACTGAAATCAAATAATGACATTTTTTCAAGCCTTTACAAAGGTTAAATAGTAATCAGCCTTTCTGTTTAAAACAAATTAAACCATAAATCTTTGTTTCTGTGCTGCTTCCCTAAGAGATGTGCTGTTAGTCATAAAGCGAGTGTGAAGTAATAAAATTAAAATCTGTCATGCCTGTAAACCAGTTGGAAAAATGCAATGATGAACTCAAAATACTGATGAAGCTGTACTATTGGTTTAAATCAATGACTGATGTTTTGAACTATGTCACAGGAAAAATGAACTAAGGCAGCTACTAGATGCCAATAACAACTGTTTATGTGGACAATTTTTTAACATAAACCTATATAGTTAAGGAGATTATCAAATTCGCATGGTCTAAGTACAAATCTGTACTGTAGGAATTCACTGAAAAATGAAGCAGCACAAGACCAATTAAGATATTGCAGTAACAAACACTGGTAAACTTAAAGCTTTTTACAAAGACTTAAACATTCACTACATACCATTCTAACAA